GTGGTCCTTCATCCCACGGTGGTTTTTTCCCAGGTTCCTGCCTGGAGCAGCTTTCCAAAAGATTTATTTTTAACTCTCAGCCTTGGATCGGGGAGTGGAAATTCAGCGATGTTTTGGAGTGGGAAAAGAATCATGGAGTCTTTTAAGCGTCAGAACCTGTGTTTTCATTCCAGCTTTTTGTGCAAGCTCGTATTATTCCAGCTGTTTATGGTGTCCCTAAATCACTGGCTGGGATGAATTATTGAGGTTTCGGTATAAAACACCAGAAAAGGACTTTTGAGGAGTGATTAATTGAAAATATCCCATGGAAAATATTCAAAGAATCAACATTTCCCCCGTGATATATTCTCAGTGTAGAAATGTTTTCCTGGAGAAGAAAATCTTCCGGCTCCTGACGGATTCCTGCCCCTGGCTGTGTCATTCCAAGCTTTCCAAAGTGCCCAGATCCAGCATTTCCCTGGGATGAGACAGCCCGGGATGCTGCTGATCCGTTGGTTCCATCCTGCCAGGGCCTCTCTCCTGCCAGCTCGTCCTGTCCTGGTGCTCTGTGGCACTCGGAGCTGCTGGAATGGGATTTGGGCTTCCCAGAGTTTCTCTGGATTTGGACCTCCCAGAACTTCTCTGGATTTGGGCTTCCCAGAGTTTCTCTGGATCTGGATCCCAGAGCTGGCTGGAATCCAAGCAAGTGTAGTGATTTTGGCTTTTTGTTCATTTTGGATGGGCTGGAATGGGATGCAGAGATGAGAACCTGGACACGGCACCAAGGGATGGGGATTTGTGGGATGGGAGCTCCAGGCACAACCCAAACCTGGGTCCCGGCTCCTTGAGAACCACCACGTTCCAGAGCCAGATCCTGATCTCCTTCCTGGTTCCCTCAAGGAAAAATCTCCCAAGGTTCTGCCTGCAGCCAGGAGAGCTGGGAACAGCCACAGGCTGGGATGTCCCTGTCACATCCCACCTGGAGCAGATCCCTCCCAGTCAGGGCTGCTGGAGCTGGGGGTGCTGCTTCCCCCTCCTCAAAATCCATGGATGGATGCCTGGAACTAAATCAGGATTCTCCCCCAGCCTGGAGAGCTCCCCCAGGAGCTGGAGGTGCCTCCTCTCCCCCTGTCCCCCTCCTCATCCCACCCACTGACCCCCTCTCGCTGCCCCCACCGCGGAAAGGAGCAAATCCCTGGATTTGAGCTGGAGGACACCACCCATGGCTCCAGCGGGATGCGTCGCCATGGAGGAGGCGTTGCCATGGCGACCGTTGCCGTGGCGATGGCGAGCGGCGCAGCAGGGCCTGAGAGCATCCCAGGGAGGTTCCCTGGCCTCTCCCGGTGCTTGAAGATGGATTGATTTCCCAGGTTTCCCTCCTCCCACGGCGAAACACTCGGCACTGAGAGCTTTTACTACAGCAGCGCGTTTCGGGTTCTGTTTTGGGGCAGATTTAGGGAGTTTTAAATTCCACAGGGTGGAAATGCCCTAAATAACGAAACACTGCCTGGAGAAGGAGGGATGTACAGGGAATTTAGGAAGCTCCAACCCAGGCGCTCCCCGTCCTCCAGGACGTGTCAGAGATGCAGAGGGTTCTGCAGGACCATCTTTGTGCCGTGAAGGTGATAGGAGGGTCCCTCCTGGGCCCTGCATTTTTAAGCTCTGAGCTCTCCCTGGCTGTCCAGGGCTCTCAGGGCAGGATTCAGGTGGGATTTGTGCTGCTGGGGTCCCTTGGCTGCCGTTCCCTGCCAGCCCAGCCGAGCTGGAGGCACGGGAGCGAGCAGGGAGTGTCCAGGTGGGAATCATCACCTGCCGATCGCTCTTTCCAGGCGGAAAAGGATCCTCTGGGATGGGCTGTGTTTCTTCCCCGAGCTGGATGTAGTGGCCATGTCGCTGCTGAGCTCCAAACCCTTTGTGTCTGGTGCTCATTTGGGGTCATTGAGAGCACAATGAGGGAGCATTCCATGAAATGTGACTTTGTGGCCTTGCCCTGGAGTCTGCTCTTCATCAGGGCCTGTTTTTATGGCAGCAGCGCCGTGACCTTTGGGGACCCTGGGAACGGGCATTGTTTGGGGTCTGGTGATTCCAGAGCCAGGTCCCAGCCCGGCTCATGGGACACAGGGATGTGACAGGAGCAGTTCCCTGGCTGCAGGACAGTCCTGGGCACACTGAAACCTTCCCACTCCTCACCCAGAGGTGACGCAGCCCCCCAGCCCAGCCTCATCCCGCTGCCTCCAGCAGCTCCGCCGTGATCCTGGGGTTTCATTTCCCTCACGCAGCAGCTCCGAGCTGGGTAAGGAACCCCGAGCCTCAGCTGGGCAGTTCCTGCCTCCATCCCGGGGCAGTGGGGCCGCAGGGACGGCTCCGGCACATCCAGGGGTCCCTCCAGCCATGCTCTGACCACACGGAACCTGCAGGGGCAGGGATAAAGTCTGGATGAGGTTTCTCTTTTGGGACAAATCAGGGAGCTGTGGCTTGGCTTGGGGGGCTGGGATGGGTTGGGATTGGGGGCTGGGATGGGTTGGGATTGGGGGCTGGGATGGGTTGGGATTGGGGGCTGGGATGGATGGGAATGGGGGCTGGGATGGATGGGAAGGCAGCCCCAGGTCGGGAGGTGGGAGCTGCTGTCCTGAGTGATTTGTGGTTTCCTGGACAAACTCTGCCTTCCCTCCCCTCCATCCCAGCCAGGCCAGGGGGAGCAGCCCCTCATTCCAAGGGGGAACATCCCCTCATTCCAGGGGGATCAGCCCCTCATTCCCAGGGGAACAGCCCCTCATTCCTGGGGGGATCAGCCCCTCATTCCCGGGGAGGGGGCCATGCACAGCCAGGGGCACACGGAGCATTCACGATCCAAGCATCACTAAATCCAAATAAAGCCCGACTGCTCCCAAGATTTACGGCACGAGCCTGACCTCAAAGCATCGGGGCCGCAGCTCGGAGGGGGTTACGTCAGCGCCTTGGGAATGGTGGGATGAGGGGGCTTCTCCGGGAACAGCCATGACCCAAACACCCCCCTGGGCACCGGGAACATCCCGAGATGGTTCCCAAGTCTTTGTGGGGCTCGGCTGGGGCTGTGCTGCTGGGGGGGTCACCCCTGGTGTGGTCCTGCCTGTGGGGTTGTTGGGTTTGTGCTGGTCCTGGCTGAGGGTTGGGATGGATGGGGATGGATGGATGATGGATGGATGATGGATGGATGGATGGATGATGGATGGATGGATGATGGATGGATGATGGATGGATGATGGATGGATGGATGATGGATGGATGATGGATGGATGATGGATGGATGGATGATGGATGGATGATGGATGGATGATGGATGGATGGATGGTGGATGGATGGATGGATGGATGGTGGATGGATGGATGGATGGATGGATGGATGATGGATGGATGGATGATGGATGGATGATGGATGGATGATGGATGGATGGATGATGGATGGATGATGGATGGATGATGGATGATGGATGATGGATGGATGGATGGATGGATGATGGATGGATGATGGATGGATGATGGATGGATGGATGATGGATGGATGATGGATGATGGATGGATGGATGATGGATGATGGATGGATGGATGGATGATGGATGGATGATGGATGGATGATGGATGGATGGATGGATGAGGGATGGATGCACAGACAGGCGTTGGATGGATGGGAGCTGCTGTGCCAAGCTGGTACTTCCATTCCCGTTTCCTGCTCCAAGCCTGGAGCCAGGAGTCTGGAACGGCCTCATCTTGTTCCAATTTCAGGACGAACAAAGGGACTGGGGCCATGTGGCTCCCATCAGGGAGAGGCTTTGCAGGGAGAATCCCACCCTCGGGAATGGGCTGGGGAGCGCCGGGCTCTCCTCATTTCCTGGGGAGCCTTGATACATTTGGTGTAAAAACAAAGGCAAAGAGTGATTCCCAGAGTTTCTTCCTGCATCCCCTCATTCCCTGGCATTTTCCATGCCTTCCCATCAGTTTTGGTGACCCGTCTCATATTCTTGGGCTGCGCAATTCCCAAATCCCTGTGGATTTACTCTGCTAGATCACAAATTCCAGTGAGCTGCTGGGGAGTGGGTGTTGGGAATCCAGGATGGGGCATCAGCTGGGGTCAAAGGCTGAATATTCCCAGAGATTCGGGGAGCACCGTGGGGTGCTGGAGACCCGCAGGACACTTCAGTGGCTACTGGGAAGAGCTGGAACAGATCCAGCCAGAAACAGCTCAGACACTTAAAAGCTCAACTCCCCTGGCCCCTCCCGAGCCGATGGATTCTCTCTCCTGATGGGAGAAGAGATGTGGGGACAAAACTCGAGTCAGGTCACAAATTTCTCCACCTGATCATTCAAAACTCCTTCCTGCTCCAAGCCGCAGTGAAAACAAAGAAACCCAGAGCTGTTTTCGGGAGGTAAAATGCTCCGAGAGGCGACGGGGACCCTTCAAGGCCTTGATTTGAAACTGAAGCTGGAACCTGGCTTGTTACATCTTGAAACATCTGATGCGATCTCGCAGATCAAAGCCGCCTTGTTTGCCTTGTAATGAGGTGTCAAAGCATTTCCTCGCAACGCCAACAGGAGACACTTTGATCTGCAAAACAAGATGTTTAAGAGCGCTGCTAGCGAGGGCTCCCCGCGTTCTCGTTCTCGCAGCTCTGGGAAGCAAGGGAATATTTGAAGTCTGCTGTTGTTTCCTCTCGAGGCTTCCCAAGCTGTGGCAGCTGATGAGGTGTTGCTGTCACACCGGAGCCAGGACTCACAGGGAAATCATCGAGCCTGAACAGCAGCCAGCTGGAGAACCCAACCGAGCATTTTCCTTACAGCTCCCAAAAGGAATTCTTGGGTTTTCCCCAAAACAAAAGGGCTTTTTGTCCATGGGAAATGTTGATGTGAGCTCACTGAGTTGCTTTGGGGGAAAACCCCGCGATTCTGGGTGGTTCAGCTGCAGGTTGTTTGTGCTGCTGCTGCCTTGGTCTGGCTGGGGTAGCCCCTGGTGGGGCTAGAGCCACTCACGGGTCCCTCTGGTCACAGGCTCAGCGCTGGCGCAATGAGAACTACGAGAGGCCCGTGGACCTGGAGGGCTCTGGGGATGATGATCCTTTTGGAGAAGATGAGCTGGACGACATCTACTCTGGCTCTGGCTCGGGGTGTGAGTACCTGGGGAGCTCCTGGGAAGGGTTCCTGGATCGTTGGGGAGATCCTGGGAAGGTCCTTGACTGGCTGTGGGGTTGGGGAGCTCCTGGGAAGGGTTCCTGGATCATTGTGGGCCTCTTGGGAAGGTCCTTGACCAGCTGTGGGGTTGGAGGGCTGGAGAAGAGGTGTGATTTTCCCTTTATCCATCACTGGAGTTGTCCTCTGAGACAAAAGCAACGGGAGCTGTCCCAGAAGTTGGGCTCCAGTGCCTCCATGTGCCAGTTCAGCCCTGCTGGGCAGGACTGGCCCTTCCAAAGACCCCAGAGAGGACGTTGGCCACCACAAGGGAACAGCCCTTGGTTTCTGCTGAGCCTGGAACCATCCGTGCTCTTGGATTTTGGGGGTGATGCCAGGGAAATGCCTCAGCAGCGGATTCACTCCTCCCTCTCATCCCCCCGTTTCAGATTTCGAGCCGGAGCTGGGGCTGGACACGGCCGTGAGCCTGACCACGGACACACTGGTGACGCTGCCCACCACAGCGGCCGTGCTGCCTGTCACCGCCGCCCAGCCCGTGGCAACGCCCCTGGAGCCGTCCCCCACTCCCCAGGACACCACCCCCGGGCAGGCAACCAGCGCCTTCCTCATCCCCAGGACCACGGAAGCACCGGCTGTGCCGAGCTGGAAAGCCACCACCACCAGCACCACGGCCAGCGAGCCCCCAACCACCATGGCCACCACCACCACGGCCACCACCACCAGGGCCACCACCACCAGAGCCACCACCACCACCACCACGGAGGCCACCACGCCCACAAGCAGCACCACCGTGGCCACAGCCAAGCCCACCACCACCCGGAGGTTCCTGCCCCCCTTGGCCACCAAGGCGGCCACCACGCGGGCCACCACCCTGGAGACCCCCACCACGCCCGTCCCTGACACCAGCACCCCGACAGAGGTGGCCACGTCACGCCTTGTCCCCAGCAGCACGGCCAAGCCCAGGGCCCTGCCAAAGCCCAGCACCTCCAGGACTGCAGAGCTCCCCGAGAAAAGCACGGCCTTGCCGCCCGTGGCCACCACGCTGCCGCCCACCGAGGCCCCCCAGGTAGGAGGCCGGAGCCCTTCTCACCTGCTCGGGGTCCTGGGCTACGTGAGGAGCCAAGAGGTGGCCACAGGAGGCCTTTGGTGTCCATCCATCCTTGGCCACTTGCTCTGAGGGAGGTCGAGGCAGGCTGGGCTCTTCCAGCGCGCAACATCTGGGGAGGTGAAAGGGGGAGTTCCACCCGGGCAGGGGTTCAAGCTCCTGGGGACACCCAGGATGTGCCACCAACCCCGGTGTCCCCAGCACTTCCAGCTTCCCCAGGCGGGAGGGCAGCAGTGCCGCATCCCACGGGGACACAGCGACATTCCTGGGTTTGGTGTCATGTCCCAGCTCCCAGCCCTGCCGGGAGCCCCGCGCTCTCCTCAATTACGGCTTGAATTACTCCCATTTCCAGCCCGTCGGGTGTCCTGAGCAGGAATTTCAGCTCCATCTCGCATTCAGAGCCCCTCAGGGGCCCTTTGCAGCCGCTTTGACTGAAAGGTGGAGTGATTTGTCTAAACTACTCCCTCTTTTCCGCCTGCAAATGCGTGCTCGGAGCGCTCGGGGCTCTCCCTGACCTTCAATTAATCCCTGTCACAAACCCGGCTCGTGGGAAGCGCTGAGCCGTGCGCTGGCCCCGGGGCATCGGGACATGGAGAGGGTCCCAGCCCCTCCCCACAGCTCCTGGCTCATCCCTGAATCCCAAGAATCCCGCGTGGTGACCGGGGCAGGCGGGAAGGGCGGCCCCGGCAGGGAGGGATCCCGGCGAGGTTTGGATGGGGGATGCTCCAGCTCAGCGGACACGCCGAGGGACAAGGGGGAAGGTCCGGGGGGTTTGGTCCCGAGGGGATGTGCAGTAGGCAGTGAATGGATCAGGGATGGGATGGATCATATTCCCAGGCAATTTTTACCCTGGAGGTCGGGATCCCCTCCTTGCCAAGGGAACTGGGCAGGGACAGCAGGGTGACAGCTGGGTGACAGCTCTGGGTCCTGGGGGACAAGGAGCCATCCTCCTGCTCCTGCCCCGTGCAGCAGGAACAGGGGAAAGGAAGAGGGAAGGGACCCCTGGAGCTCATCCAGCAGCATCCAATGCTGTGTCACCTCCTGTTAGGAGTGAGCCACCTGCGAGCGGTGACATCCAACCTGCGCTCTGGGGACAGAGCAAGAGGAGGCTTTGGGGTGGGATATTGGGGAGAAATTATTCCCTGTAAGGATGGAGGGTCTGGGATGGGATTTTGGGGAGAAATCCTTCCCTGTAAGGATGAGGGTCTGGGGTGGGGTCTCTTTAGGAGAACCTACAGGGAGCAGGTCCATGGGCCCAGCTCCCCCTCAGCCATTTGGTGATCATGGAGCTCTGGGGTTGCGCTGTCGCTGTGGTACAAGTTCAGTGACACAGGGAAGGGACACCCCGACGTTACCCCCATGTCCCTCACCCTGTTTTTGGTCGGTGATGGGGACCTTGACCCTGTGGACACCCCTTGGTCCTTGTCCCCTGCTCCATCTTGTCCTCTCCCCCAGATGGAGCCAGGGGAGGTGACAGCAGTCCCTGAGAATGAGCTGGAGGTGCCGGCCAGCAGCGGCCCCAGTGGGGACTTTGAGATCCGGGAGGAGGAGGAGACGACTCGTCCCGACCTCAGGAACGAGGTGATGGCTGTGGTGACGCCGCCGGCAGGGCCGGGGCCCGGCAGGAATGTGGAGACGGGGCTGATGGACAACACGATAGACTCGGGCAACTCGGCTGCTCAGCTGCCCCAGAAGAACATCCTGGAGAGGAAGGAGGTGTTGATAGGTGAGATACGGGGCCGGTGTTTGGGTGAGGGTTTGGGGACACAGGGAGCTGGGCTGTCCCAGGAGAGGGGACAGTCCTGGGAAGGGCGTTGGGATAACCCACACCCACCTCCCGAAATCGCTCCGTAGGGTGTCCCAGGGTCTCCATTGCCAGGAATGTTGTGCACGATTTGTTTTTGCTGAGAGGGATTTCCAGGAAAAAAACGGGATTGTTTTCCCTCCAATTCCATAGACGTGCTGCAGTGACCCGGCCACGGCTGCGAGGCTGCTCCCAAATTTCCAAAGCACAAAACCAGGCTGAAATCCCAAAAATGCTTTGTCCTGGAAGCCAGGCTGGGCCTAGGGTGGCACTGAGGACCAGAGGGGTGGCACCGATAGCCATGGGTGGCACTGAGGACCAGAGGGGTGGTGGCACTGACAGCTGAGGGTGGCGCTGAGGACCAGAGGGGTGGCTCTGATGGCCGCAGGTGGCACTGACAGCCGCGGGTGGCACTAGGGACCAGAGGGGTGGCACTGAGGACCAGAGGGGTGGCACTGATGGCCTCAGGTGGCACTGAGGACCAGAGGGGTGGCACTGATGGCCACGGGTGGCACTGAGGACCAGAGGGGTGGCACTGATGGCCTCAGGTGGCACTGAGGACCAGAGGGGCGGCACTGAGGACCAGAGGGGTGGCACTGATGGCCTCAGGTGGCACTGAGGACCAGAGGGGTGGCACTGATGGCCTCAGGTGGCACTGAGGACCAGAGGGGTGGCACTGATGGCCTCAGGTGGCACTGAGGACCAGAGGGGTGGCACTGATGGCCTCAGGTGGCACTGAGGACCAGAGGGGTGGCACTGATGGCCTCAGGTGGCACTGAGGACCAGAGGGGTGGCACTGATGGCCT